GACAAGTGAATGGAATGAATAATTAAGCCAGTCATCAGTGCCAAGATCATGACACAAAGTGTTTTTTTTAACACAGATTGATATGATCACATTTTCAAAAAGCCTTAAACAAAGCAGATACTGTTCAATCATCTACTACCTACTACAGTGGATTTCACAGATTTAAGCTTGTAATTGAATTTTATGTATCAAATTTGGAGATAGTCCAAAAGAATGGTGTTAAAATCATGTTTACTACTAAAATTTTAACCCCCAATAAGTATATTTTCCCCTTAAGATTCACTCTGCATTCATATAAATCAGAATAAAAGAGATTAGAAAATAGAGAGAGACCATTTTCACTCCAACACATATTCTCATTTTATTGACTAAATCTCAGCTTACAGGAAGACAGTTGTTTTGCAAAGACAAAGGTGGAAATGAACTCTAGTACTGCGGGTCACCTACTAATCAAAACTGCTAAAATCAGGATGCTTGGAAATATTTCACCGACCAGACAATGGGACTTCATAACACGTCACATTAAGGAAGAAGACGACAAATCAGCAATCACTGACTCAGACACTGAAGGAACAAAAACAAAGTGGCTTCTACACATTCAGAAAATCCCCTTTTCCTCTCAATAATCCAAACCATAATATTTGATGCAAAGAAAACATGCAGGTTAATAAAACTAATCAAGTGTTGCTCAATTCTAGGATTCTTGTGTCATTCATCCACATTTTTTAGTTATTCATATTTTATTCCATCCATAAAGGCAAAGGATTAGCAGTCAGCTATTGTTGAACCTGCAACCAGGGAGTGTTTCCAGTAGTAGAGCTACTCTAAATGAAAAATCTAGTTTTTAACCAACGCCCAGGCAGCAGAAAGGGGCTTTTCTATAATATTTGAATGGAAAATTCCACAAATTTACAAAAAAAACCCAACAAATTTAAATGAGTTTGTATCTGAAACTGGAATCCTTCCAGGATATTGATCTCTACATCTGTAGTATTCCTAATAGATTCCGATATTTACTTTGGAACAATTATGTTAATCAAGCTAAATCCCACAATTTATTTTGAATTAACCTAAAATTGAACATTTTTATTGCTTCAGTCAGCCAATCAGCTGTCTACAACTTCTTTCTAACATTTTAAAAAGGTTTATTATTATTTCTACTCCATCCAATCTAGAATAAAAGGTGAGAAAGAAAGGTCAAACATCAGCATCTGATCAGAATACATCCAGTACATGTTTGCATGTATTTGAACATATTCATATTCAAATGCTGCAGATAAAAATCTAATCCAAATGAAATAATCAACAGGTTTCTTGGCCAAAAATATCAGCGAGCAGAGACAATTATTATTATTTTTTTAAGTTATGTTGAAATGTATTTTAAAAAATGTTTTTCTTGTTGTTTTTCTTATTTGAGAACTATTTCATCAAACCTGCTTTATCTAACTAATCTTTTTAGTATTTGTAAAATTTAATATTTTCCACATTTGGATGCATTTTATGAGCAACCTAAAATGTTAGCGATTTTTTTTCTTGGTTTGGACTTGTTTTAAGTTTTATTATTTTATCACAGCCGTGTCAATATCGCTCCTTTTCTTGTTTAATCAAACACTGGCGTTTCAAATACATTTTTTTTCTCTCCCACTGTTTACTTTATTTGCACTGGAAAAAAAGAGAAATGTTGATTTTAAAGGAAGCATGGGCAATTATGAGGATCTCAATGCATGATAACCTTTCAATTCAGAACATAAGAATTTGTTCTTTCCTATATGGGAAATTTCAAACTTCACAAACTTCAAGTGCAGCAATTTTCCACAAAATCCACTTTAAATTTCCAACCAATCACCCACCAGATGTTGGAGGCCACAGAACAAGAAAAGATAATATGTGCTTTGAGAACTCTGAACCCTGGATGGGTTAAAAACTCTTCCATTGTAGCCCTGAGAGAAAAAAAAAAAAAAAAAAAGACTGGTCGTAGTGAAATTTTTACAATATTTGCATATAAACCTTAAATAAAAAAACAGTGATCAATTCTGCATCTGGAAAATCTTATATAGAATATTTGTTATTACTCTTAGAACATTATTCTAGCTTGGATTCAGAGATTGAAGGGATAACAATAGAAAAGACTATTGTTGCAGAGAACAGGAGAGTTTTACATCATTAAAAGCTTAATATTTATTAGTTCAGGCTTTAAGCCTGCTGAATTAAATGCAGCTCATAGATTTACAGTTTTCAAACTAATATGTTTGCTCTCCGTGCGCTTTAGACAGCTTGTTCTGACATTTTTAACCGCATCTCACTAAATAGACTTTCAACCATAGAAAACACATCACAGATCATCGTAACTATTTGACACGGGAACTTTTTGAGTCTTTTTTTAAACGTAGATAACAGGATTTGGAGTATTGCTTTCTCAGATGCTGGAATTATAGCGTCATTGTAATTAAGCAGGGATAAACAAAGGCCAGCAGAGTTAGGACAATAAAACACAAGGCTGCACTGACTTATCTATGGGGAGCTTTAATGGCATGATGAGCTCACATACAGGTTTTATGTGGTCATGTGAATTTGGTTTGCTGCCCACAGCCAGCTGGAGAAAACAGCAGAGCTACAGTGTCTGTATCAGGATGCTCCTTTGTTCTGAGTCAGAAGACTGCTGATGAGGTCAGAGATTGTCACAAGATGCTGGACTAAGTATTCGTACCCACTGATGCGCGAGAACGAGATGAGAACGCACAAGGCTTTAGCTGGGTCTAGCTATTCCTCAGTGGGGAGGATCCATGCTGAGGCTACTGACACTCACAAGATAAAGAAACTTTTTTTTTTTTTCGGGGTGGGGGGGTGCTAGCTACACTACATCTATAGGTTACTACGGTTTGGGATCCAGGAAACACTGAGCAGGTTTGCACAAGGGAGCTTTTTAGCACGTACACATCCATGCAGGTTTATGTATGGAAAGCAACGGCCATTTTTATTAGTGTTGCACCGATACCAATACCAGTATCAGGTGGGGCAATCCTGCACTACAATGGTGGTATCGGAATCGGCGAGTACCAACAAATAGGGCACCGATACCATTTTGAGAGCCAAAAGTTTATTCAACAAATGTCATCCATTCCAGGTAGGCAATAAATCGTTCTACTGGATTCAATTTGTTTTAGCTGCAGCAGCTTGAAAAAGCCATGATGGCAATTATTTTACATCCAAGTAGTATGCAGTTCTTCATATATACACACACACTCATCAATTCCAGATGGTATCATTGTTGTATCGGTATGGTATCGGTATACCGGCCAAATACCAGGTATCGGGCCAAAAAATGGCATCGGTGCAACACTTATTCTTATACATGTTTTGCTGCTTTGAAAAAATCTTTTTCTTTAATCATATTCCTCACAAAATGAGTTGGTTTGCTCTTTTTTTTGCCACCATTCTGAATTGATAAAAATACCTCACTGCCTCTTTAAAGGCCATTTAGAAGAAAAGTCTTAAAGCTCCTAATCATCTCACTCTAACACCCTCATGCTTATCTTTTATTAGCTTTTTTTGAAAGTGACAAGATAATCACACGATAACAAATATTTCACCCAGAGTAGAAACTAATTGTGCTACTGTAAAAATAATCACAGGGTTCTTCAAAAACATTTTTTTTCATAACTAAGGTCTTATTATTTATTTTTTTTTACTGTAAATGTGAACTAGTCATGCGATTACAAAGTTGGTGTGGGTTTTTTTCAGCTTCTTTTCTCTGAATTTTGTTAAGGTAATCTCTCTTTTAGTCTACAGACAGGATTTCGATATGAAATCCAAAGAAATTGGTTCAGTTGAACCAGAAAATAAATAAACATAATTTAAAAAAAGCTTTGCTGACAGACTTTTCCTGTGAAGCTTCAAAGATAAAAGTTATAGGAAAAGAATTTTAGGAGTGAATACAAAAATAAAAAAACAAGACTCAAAAGTCTTTTTTCTCTTAAAATCAGGACAATAATCATCAGATTTTTTTCCCATCAGAAATCTGTTGATCTTGTCAAATAATGTACATTAATGCCAGTAGGGGTGTAACAGTATTTACTGATATGAAATATGAGATACTAAAATGTAATGAAATGGCTTGGTGTTTATTGTTTTTTTTTTGTTCATTTGTTGGACTGATGTCGTCTATTGAAATAAGCCTGCTTTATGAAAGAAAGTCTTTTCAAGATACATCTAAAACTTTTTTCAAATTATTTTTCAAAGTAAGGAAAAAAAGTATATAGAAATAAACTGAATTGAATTGAATATTTTATGAAATTGTGTTCTATGAAACTGGTCTTATAGTCACTCTATTACAGACGGAGTAATGTAATGACAGTCATTTCTCCCTGGGATTATTAAAGTATTTCTTATTTGGATTCCTCGTTATTGGAACAGGTGTGAATGAAACGGTAGGATTCTCAGTAAACTTTCTCTGAAAGGTTGGTGGCTCTTGACTTTGACTAGGCCATTCCAAGACTGACTGTAAGCATCAGCTCCATAGGTGCGACTCGTCTCTCTGGAGGTTCCCAAGTCTTTTTAGGTTTATTTTAAGATTACAATCTTGAGAGTAGGGGGTCCCTTCCAGGGGTCGCGGACCCCCTGTTGAAGACCTCCGCTCTTATTCATAAACTACGACGGAGTATTAGGGCCCAACTAAAGAGAATTTTGTTTTTTACAGACTGCAATTAGAGAATAAAATAGTAGAATTACCAGAATGAAGTCATTATATCATAACAATAAAGACATAACATTGTAAAGTTGTAATTTACGAGAATAAGGTCAATAATATTTAATGAGAACTCTTGCGCTATCATCCCCTGCATTGAAATGAAGACTGTTGAGGATCATGTGAAGTTATACTTTCATATTACCGGTAGTTTTACAAATAAGGAAATATTAAACCTTTTTACACATTAGTATCAAATTATTACTATTTTTGCACAAGGAGGTCAGATTGCTGTTTGGTGCTTTGGCTGCGCAGGTGGTTGCTGCTCAAAGATTTTTTTTCTGAAAGGATTGATAATCTGATTACTTTATTATCATTACTTTACTCTAGTCTCTTCATATTGCAAAAATAAAGTTGTAATATTCTATTATTTTATTTTATTTTGTTTTTGGCCCTAATAGTCCGTCGTAATAAACACTCCAAGATCTAAAAGTAAAATCTTTCTACTTAATAAAATGTTTGTGATTGGTGAAAAGTTCAGATTATTTGTAAAAATAAAAAAGGTTTACTGGTTGTAAACCAGGTATCATGTTGTGTCATAACACACCGTTACACCCCGACTTATTAGGTAAGTGGAATTAGACGTTACAGTGTTCACTAAAACGGAAAACATAGACAGTTACTTTACAAAAATAACAAAAAGAAAGAAAATAGTAAAAAATAGCTTAGTCTTTAAGGAGTCAATAAATAAATAGTATTTCAAATTAAAATAAATACACTTTTCTTAGATTCATACAGACACAATCCACAAACATACTTTTCATATTTTTTTACACATTGTCCCACTCCTTGATCTGTTCTTCATATTTTAGTCCTCCTTATAAAACAAATCCTGCGTCACTTTGTCAAAGCTTTTTCCTTGTCCTTCCTTTCATTTTTTTTTTGCTGCAAGTATTGCTCTATAAAATACGTTTTGGTTTTCTTTTCTGGTTTCCTTTTTCTTAGTCTCTTCTCTTTCTTTTTTGTATGAAATGCATTTCAAAATGTCACTAGATTGTAAACAAAGCCTCTCTTGTTGACATCCAATGAAAAATCTTTCCTTATGAGGAAAGTTTGCCTTCAGTCAAGATCTTCGTCGCCTTATTGTGTGTTACCATTCTTCCTAACATGTTGAAAACAAGATACATTAGTGTTTTTAGTCTGGTCATTTTTTGAGACATGCACAACTATTGCAGTTTGAGAGGTATAAAAGTGTGGGTTCAGTCTGTCGCCGAGCCGGCCATGCTCACACGCAGATTTCAATGGGTGTAGCCACCAGCAGGCGACCACCGGGGGAACCATTTTCTCGTGGCATTCGGTCGTAACTGTTGGTGGACGACACAGAGCTGTTAGTGGAAACAGACACAAAATGTCCCCCGCCGGGGTCCATCATGTTTCCCTTTGCGCCGCCACCACCGCTGCCCCTCTCTACTGCCACGGGAGAGAGTGGCGAGAGTGGCGAGCGAGGCGACAAAGTCTGCTGCTTCATCCTCTCTACCAGGAGCTCCTCGTCTTCTTCCCCTGATGAAGAAGTTGAGATGGTACCGTCTATATCTCCACGCATATTCCCTCCTCCGCTGCCGCCTCCAACCATCTCCCTGCTACCTCCCCCACCTCCATTTCCATTGTTGTCATGCTCTGAATCTAGCATCCATGAGTGGCTAAAGTATCCGAACACCTCCTTAACGGAGCAGCGGCGGTCCTGCTCCACTGACAGCAGTCGGCGGAACATACGGAGCGCCTGCTCTGTAAAGCGCCTCCACTGAGACGGCACCGTATTTGTCCTCCTCCTCTGCCAGTGGATGAACTCTTGATAGAAAGTATCGGTGGGAAGCGCCTTCTCCCACGGGAAGTTCCCAGTCAGCATGCAAAAGAGCAGCACACCAAAGGCCCAGACATCGGTGCTGTAGTCCACACAGAAACCCTCCTGGCGAGAGGCGTCACAAAGCTCAGGGGCCGTGTAGGGAATGGTGCCACTCACCTGGGGGGAAAAAAACTCAGCAGGTCACATCTAGGTCAGATAAATAGCCAGAAGCAACCCAGATACCTAAATGGTTACTCACTCTTTTTACAGGCGAGCCAGCGCGACGAGTCATTCCGAAGTCTGACAGCTTGACTTTGCGACACTCTCTGTCAAAAATTAGAATGTTTTCAGGCTTGATGTCCCTGTGGACAAGCTTCTTACAGTGCAGATAATCCAGAGCAATGGCCACTTGATGCACACAGCGCTTTGCCACCGACTCCGGGAGACCAACCTGAAAGGTCAGAAGAAAGGAATATTAATATTAAGCACTAGCCGACGAATAGACAAGGTTGAATGGTTTACAGAAGGTGTAAATTTAAGATTCATCTTCCACCATCTGAAGTACTCTGGGTAGTAAGAAATTTACGAATTAGGACAATTCTAGCTCTTTGCCTCAGAATGGAAAAGTTTTGTTTGGAAAAATGCCATCAAAGTATCCAGTTACATCAGCTATTTTGGGTTGGTTAAATGGCATAACATCTTTTTAGCATCTTTTTAAAAAAGCTCAGATTGCATCGCTGGTCTGCATATTTAACTGCTTGCTTCAAGAAATAATGGAGAATTGCCATATTCAAGCTGGAAGAGAAAACTATTGGTACAATTGGAAATATACAGAGTACAGAGTTTATCAATTAGGAATTCCATGTCTATGTCACTTAGAAATGTGGATTTCTTTAGAAGGACCAGAATCCTGGTGATGCACTTGATGTACAGTGATGTTCAATGTTAAAGGGAGTTTTAAGGGGAATATCAAGAGTTTAGTAAAATACAATGAAACAATCATCAACTGTAGTATGTTGGCACCTGTGGAGGAATGATGTCAAAGAGGTCTCCTGCCACAGCGTACTCCTGGGCAAAGACATAGTACTCGTCTGTCTCAAAGGCGATGCCGAACATGTTGATGATGAAAGGGCAAGGGGACAGGTAGAGTGAGATGCTGTACTCGCGAAGAAACGATTTCAGCTTGGTTGTCTTCTTCTTTAGAAACTTCAGGGCCATTTTTGTACCTTTTGAGAAAGGAAAAATGAGAAATTTTGGATTATTTTCCCAAGAAACACCCTACTGTATCTAAGCAGGATGTAAACTGTGCATCCGCCTGATCCCTCACCTCTGATCTTGTGGATGACCAGGTCCACCTTACCATAGGTGCCCTTCCCCAGCTCCCTGATCACCTCATAGTACTTGTTGACCTCCAGCCTCTCCAGGTTCTGTGCAGCGATCAGCTGCAGCTCATCCAGGATATCCACGTTAGAGCGAGAAACCAGCGGAGAGGAGCTCATGGTGGGGGCTGCTTCAAACGATGGACTGGGGTGAAGAAGCGGTGAGTGAACTCTCAGGCAGGACATACGAAGCAGCCAACAGCTGGTTTCACTGCACAAAAAAACAGGAAGGGGAATGAATCTCTAATATTTTGGCCTCATTTTTATTTTTCACTGACCACATGCCATGTACCAGCCTGCTTCACAGCCTCCACAATCATCTCTAGACTACAGGATCGGTGCAGCACTAATTTTTGGATCTGCTGCACTTCACTTACCGAGCCATCAAAAGTCATTAGAGGATTTAACTAACATGTCATTTACTACACCCTGCCTCATTAGAATGCCCTAAGAACCTACACCAGGATCCTCCTTATGCACTTCAGCTCTGCTTTTACACCATCATCCTGGTCCTGCAGCAGGACCAGCTCCCCCAGCTAACCATACATGACCTTTACTACAGCCGCCAGACCATCCAGCTCCTGAAGTTTATGGATAACACCACCCATATCCCGCTCATCTCCAGGACAAGTCTGCTTACTGGTTAGAGATTTACTATGTGGTGCAGAATTGTCTGAAGATCAGAGCTTTGAAAACAATGGAGAACAGAGGAGTTGTATATTTTTTGACATCCCCCCATGCTCCCCCATCATCTTGTGGCATTCTACAGTCGCCTCCGTAGACTAATTCTACCACCTATGCACCGTCATCTATAATGACCTGAAGCAAGAACTGAACACCGTCTCCCTCGTCAAGATGAAACAGTAGAGAATGTGCTTTCTGCGGTAGCTTTAGATTTTTAGCCTGCTAAAGAGATTGGTGATGCTTTCCTACTCTGACATTATTGAGTTCATATTTTTTCACTCTGCAGAATGAGTGATTGACTGCAATCTTGCTTTTCTAGAGGAAATGAAGCTAAAGCAAAAATGAAATCTGGAAGACTCTTATCAGCTTCACCTGAACCACCTGTGATTTCCCTCTTTCAGCTCCAGTCAATCAACTCGAGAGCCGCATCTTCTTCCAAGCCAATCATTTTGCCTTTATTTCACACCTTGCCCAGCTTCTCTTTTTCATCCAACTCCACCCCATCTGCTCCCAAATTCTCAGTCCCACTAACGCTCTGGCTTATTCCACCACCACTGTCCAGACCCCAGGTTTCCCATCCAAGCGTACGCCGATTCACAGCATCGAAGTCTTCCGCCGGGGCCCGAGCCCCAAATAACTTATTTCATTTATGTCTTCTTCTCCTGTCTCCTTGAACCTCATTCGGCCTCGGCAGATAGCCACTCCCTCTTAACTTGGATCTGCCAGAGGTTTCTTCCTGTTAAAAGGGAGTTTTCCTCTCCACTGCCGCTACATGCATGCTCAGTTTGAGAGATTGCATAGAATCGATCACTCCTTGCAATGAGCTGTTTTTCCTTAGATAAAAATATTTTTGAAGAGTATGATTGTGTTACCTGTATAAATAAAAACTGCAACTGTTCTCTATGTGAGTCCTTCCAGGTGAACTGTACACCTCTAGGACCCAGAGGCATACCGGTAAAATTGCATCTGACCCCTGCCACCCTGGACACAGACTGTTCCAAACTTTCTCCTGTACTGTAGGAAGAGGCTTCAGTCCATCAGAACCAGAACTTCCTGCCACAAAAACAGCGTCTGCAGATAGATTAACAAGACCTGCAGTTGAAATTTCTTTTTATATTGTCCTTATTGTATACTCACACTGGAAAAATTATCTAGAAATAAGTATAAATTTCTTATATTAAGTGGATTTACCCTTAATTTGAGTAGGTAAATGAGGTAGTCTGCCAATGGAATGAGTATTTTTACTCTAAAAATATAATAATTAGATAATATGGACTTGAAATAAGACAATGCAATTTTTTTTTATTTTATTTTAAGTGTAAACCGTCTTGTTCCATTGGCAAAATGTCTCTTTTAATTCCTCAATCCAAGAACAAATACTCTTATTTTAAGAAAAAAAAATGACCTCTCTAAATTTCATTTTTTTTACATTGTACAAGATCTGCTATGCTAATCTTCCTCTGCAAAATCTTTCTGTATTCTCACATCATTCCACACAACTTGCTGTTCTATACTTTGTTTCTACATTATTTTATGTGAACTCCAGGTTTCCTTGTTAATCCAACATCGAAACCTGACAGTAAAGCTTCTCTGGTTCTGATTTACTCTTAATTTAAATAGCTCACATCATTTCTCTCCATGGATGAGTTTGTGGTTTGCCATCAGCAGACTGTGAACTTCCAACACAGCTGCACTGTAAAGAAAATCAGCGGTAACATATTGACGGCTCATCACCATCATCAACAACCTCTGTGGTTCTTTTTACACCTTATTTTCCCTCCAGACTGCTTGGAGAAATAGAACCCTCAGTGCTGCAAGCGAACGCGGCTGGAATTATCCTATTTTGTACCATTTCAATCTTTCCGTTTAATGCATGACTCTAAACTTGCCTCATAAGATAAGGCTTGATCCTGTAAATGTTGTATAAGGCTTAAAAGCAAAGGCTAGGTTGCTTTGCAACTGAACATCTTCAGGCAAGGTTTCTCTGAATCAGAGTGAAGTTTTAAAGTAATAACATTGGTTTCTTGTTTCAGCGCTTTAACAGAAGTACCTGGTTCAGCAAAGGAAAAAAAAACATTGAAAACAGTGTGTGAAATAATTTAGGTAGATACAGTTCAGGTCAAATTTGATGCTTTGTTGGCTCTAAAGGTTCAGAGAAAGGATCTTATCCAAAATATATACAAAATATGACCAATAAATACATATTTTCTACAGACAGGCTATAAAGCAACCAGATATCACACATTTGCTCTATCGTTGTAGGAATGAGACGAGCAACAGTTCGGGTTTTGTTTGCATCTTTCTCTGAAAATTTAAAATGTGAAAGAAATCTAAAATTTTTGGCATCATTTGTTCATTCAGGTTGGTTGAGCGATGTTAAGGTGGTTGCCCGTCAGGTCTGCAGCGTGGTCGTCGCTGAAAATGCTTATTATCTGCAGTGAGGGCCTAAGTAATTTTAAATGCTACTCCCCTGGGTGGCTGCTGGAAGCTGAGTCACACATACACAAACAGCCAGCCAATAACAGTCAGCTCCAGAAGATCCCTTTCCTACTGCAGTGTGTTTATTCTTACCGATTGCTTTCTTTTTTTCCTCCTTCCTGAGCAGGCTGATCTGCCAAGTCCTGACCTACAGCCTTATAGATCCAGGCGCATGTGGAGGAAACACGGGAGCACATACAGCCCAACACTCAACAATTATATAAGCTGCTCAGAGAGTTGGATTGCTCTCATATTTACAGCTTTTTTTTCCTCCTTATCTTCAACACTCTGCTTTGCCAATCTCCTCAGAAACCCTCTTTACATCATACTTCCTACAGACGCTTCGCTATTTGCCACCAACTTCTCTTTGATGTCTAAAAAAAGCACCGGCGAGCTCTCATAACTCCTGGCTTGTGAAGTCAACTCTTGTCATTCCCACTGCAGGTCTTTATGTTCCTCTGTGGGGGTTTTATCTCCTTGAGTGATGCCGACTGGGAGAGAGGTTGATGGCAGCAGGTGAGGAAGAATGAGTCAGTTTGGGTGATGCATGGCGCCACAGAGAGCTTGCACTTTTCTCTTTGTTTCTCTTGTGCAATAAAATACAAATACACATTTAGAGGAGAGGCCAGGGAGTTGTTGTGCAGACTAGGCCATTTGTTTCTGTCATGGATCAGAGTTGCTTACTTTATCCAAACACTTTTTAGTTTTTTTGTTTTGTTTTTGTTTTGGTATTTTTTTCGTGTTTGTGTCCATAAAATAGAACTGCAGATTAGATAATAAGTGTCTTGTAGCAAAGATAGCCATGGATTGTAGGAACAAAATAACAACTTGATTGGCTGTCAGAGAGAAAAATTAGATTTTTGTTTTTAGCAGATCAAAATTCAACTAAACACTACATTTCCAGTGATCCTGTCTTCTAGCTTATCACCTATGCCGGCATTTAAGTATAAAATGGAGTTTGATGCAAAGAAACCAAGCACAACTTGTGCTAAATTATTTCCTGTCCTGCATTTAAAGTGTCACTTTTGGTAGCGTCCGAATACTGTCCCATTTTTTTCTTTGTTTTCTAGTTTTATTGGTTTAATTACTATTTTGTTGTGTTTTCTGGATATATTTCAGTTCTTAGGTATTTCTTGATTGCCCTCTGTTGCCCTCCTGTGTTGGTCTCTTTTTCCCTTCTAGAATCCTCTGTTCGCACCTGCTCCCAATCAGCTCATTAGTCCAGCTTTTGTTCAGTCTCCCATATCTACTCTCTCTGTGCTGTTCCTTATTGTTGGTTCCTCATCTTTTCCTGGCTCCCGATCTGAGTTTTCCCATGAAGTTGTCTGGTTTTTGGTTCCATGTATTTTGTACTTTGGTTTTTGGATTTTTTTTTTTTTGCCTCAGGTATTTAATTAAATCTTCAAGAACTCACCTCTGCCTCATTTTCTCTACATTTGGGTCCTCAAAACCTCAACCCAACCCTGACAATTACTGTATGCAGATCCGTAATGTGGAATTAGCAATGATATGCTACATCATGCCGTCAAACTGCATGCATTATTATTTCAACAATTCATTTTATATTGATGTAGTGCAAACTTGAATATATTTGGCATAAAAACATACTTTGAATACTTATAGAGGAGGGCAGGAATGGATGGGAAAATAGATTTCTATGTGTTTAATTGCATGTGTATGTTTTACGTCAATGCATACCTATATATGTGTTATCTATTTTTTTTTTACATTTATGAAATTAATGTAATTTATCTGGAAAAAAAAAAATTAAGCTTCTATTCACCCCATTTTAGAACCGGAATCTGTTTTATTTGAGTGTGGAAGTTTTCTATGTGTTTATTATCCATATTCTTTTGTTTGTATTTGAAATACATGTCTTTCTTTCCTTCATTCATAATAATCATTTTATACAGTAAAGAATCAACTGAAAATCCAGGAATTAACTTTCATTGATTTGATTGCCTCCATCTCATACATTTATATATAAAATTAACAAATAAAGGAATTAGGAAATTCAAAGGTTTAAACTTCTTAGGAGATAAAAAAGGT